GGTTAATCTAATACTGTTAATGACGAGGCTTAATCGTTACCCGAAAGCTCGAGGGAGTTCTGAAAGAGACTGTAATTTATTTTCTGGAAATCTCAAAAAATGTCGATGCCGCTAAAAGGGAAAATAAATTCTGTGCTCTCTTAGTATTCCTTCTGAACACTACAAAATATTGCAATAATTAAAATGTCTGTTGTATTCTAATTTTAGATTGCATAAAATTTTATGTAAATATTAAAACGTGAAGATGCTTAAATGCTCTTGATTTCTTTCTTCTTTACTTGTTTAATTTCAACATTCTTTGTAAGCGATATCTTTATTTACAAAATTTTCTGCATCTTTGAACTCAGATGAAGAATATTTATTAAGAACTTTAAATGTCACCATAAATAGTAAAATTCCTTTGCATAAATTTGGCTATCATTAGAACTTAGAATGTAGCAGTAAACTCAGATTTACTGATAGTTGAATTAGGCTTTTATTGCTGTAATTATGATTTGTAGCGGTTAATTTGATTTTATTTCAAGAAATCCTGCGTTTTAATCCAAAGGTTGTTTTACCTTTGTTATATAAAGGCAAAGCGTCAAAATTACTTTCCGGAGTTCTTAAAAAAATGGCTTATAATGTTTGCTTAAACATAAAATTTTGAAATAAACGTAAAATATGAAACTTTGCATAACGTATGAAGGTTAATAAAATCAGATTATAAACAAAATAAATGTCTTTCATTTACTAACACAATTAAATGGCTTAGAGCAAAACAAATTGTGCGGTTTATTAAAACTGCTTTTTTAATATAAGAGTTAAAATGTTCAGAAGAGAAGAAAAGATTATCCTAATGTATCATCTGCTGTCAGATCATTTGTTAACTAACATGTCCTAATAAAGTCTGGGACAATAGAGCTTGTATTCGGGGTTTAATTAGAAAAGGCTGTCTCAAATGAGAAATCTAACTCTGGACAAAAACCTGCTTGCATAAGCTCTTCTTTCATCCAGAAAATTAAACCATTTCTTGTCATAAATTATTTCGTGAAAGAATCACTTCAGATAGGCAGTTAGGCCTAGTGAGTATACCGTAATTAAATAATTCAGTTCATTTTTGTGTTACGCGTCCCATAGGTGGCTCACATACAGATTACGTTTACTGTCTTATACAGCAAGGCAGCATCAAATCCAGTTGGATTCACACACTGAATGTGTATAACTCAGTTTTGGAACTAAGTTTGTTATATATAAGTAGAGCTCCATGCAGAGAGTTGAAATACCTAACCATCCATTAGGGTTCACACAAGCAGCCATTCAACACACCAGAAGTCTTCAAGCAAAATTTATCCATGCACGAATTCAACCTCCAATCTAGAGGCAAATTCAGACGTATGCAGCAACAGTTTTCTGTTTTCCTCATCCAAAAGCACACTTGCGCTGGATAGCAGACATTCTCTCTACTAGATTTCAGCATATACTTGTATCCAAAAAAATGAGATAACTGATCAGCTCACGAAGCTGGCGATATCTTCTGTCAAATTTTCAATGCCTTACTGTTTTCTCTTAGTATATATCCATTCACATTCTTTTCAAAGACCAAGAAATATAAGAATCTTCTGTCATTGGCTTAGCATCCCGGTGCGACGGCCTGTCGGCCCATCTAGCTCATGACATGAAGCATCACACCAAGCTCACTGGCATAAGTAAACATTCTGGTCTTAAAAAGTCAATGAAGGTTTGTTATTGTTGTAAAACATTTTATATCCTCGAAATTTCACAACAAATTAATAAATGTAGAGAGTAAATTATTTCTTCTTACCTTGTATCCAGCGCAGCATCAAGCGAGATGATAGCTAATTAACTTGTAATCCAATAAAGGTTGTAGACGGAAATTGTAAGTGAAACACATACTGTATTAATACATGAAAATAGATTAAGATTTGTTAGTATCACAAATACATATTGAAAAAAAGGGAGTTATATAAAAGAGAGTCATATCACTGTCCTTTCCTGAAGGAGTGAGAAAAAGTAAGATTTAAAAACGAGTTACATAATCAATTCTCTTGCAGGATTTCCAGTTCATAATGTTTATCGCACTATTGGCGACAGTCCATCACTATTTGCATACCAACAGTTATAATCAAGTCTTTCTTCGCTAATCTCTTCAAAAGTCATGGCAGATTTAAAGCTTATCGAATCAGGGGATAGTGATCTTTCCAATTTGGCGGGATCAGTCATCTCGACTATTACGTCTTTTACCTTCCCAAATTTACCTTTAGAAGATTTAGTAATTTTTACTGTAGTTGTAAGCCAAGAGCTTACTGAGTAATATGTGTGTCAAACAAAACACATATAGTGAGATTAAAACTCTGTCTGGTCGTGTTTCTGATTTCTCAACTTTGGTACCTGACTGATCTTCTGTGCTTGAGATATTATATCATAATCAATTGCTGTTGCTAAATTATAATCTAGAACTTTTAAAATTGTATTGCTATATAATCCAATGCAAGCTTCAAGTTTTGGTCTACTAATTCTGTACTTGTATTTATATATCATATGTATTTTACAGATAGCATAATTTCTCGCTTTTATATTTTTTATTGTGGTTTTTGTTATATATCACTAGTTCTGCATGGTCCTGTTTTATTTGTACATATTCTTTTTATTATTCTTTTTCTGTTGCTCTTGTGGCGCTATGCTGCTTATAATAAGTTATGCTTCCTACAAACAATATATAACCACTACTAGGTTCTTTATGAAAATTTTGCAGATAATGCGCTACCATGCATAAGTTTTATTATTTTGCATATCAGCTTTGTATTGTTTTACCAATGTACCCTGATATTCTATCATTTTATGTGTCACATGTGTAACCCCTTTATGTTTGTTCATACTCAACTGGTAGTTGTTGAAACGGCGGCAGAAAATGTAGTTGCTGTATTATGGACAATACTCTTCATAATCACTTCCTGGGCTATTGTCTTCCACATGAAACTGATTTGAAGACTAGCTTGCTATTTCTGCAGAATCTGGAGAGAAAAACTATTTGTTTCAGGAAGACGATTCGAATTTAATTTACAAGATAAGATATGGTCATGAAGGAAATGAGAAAGCAATCGGTGCTTGGAGACAACTGCTTTTATCAAAGGAGTATAAAATGGAAAGTAGAGTGATAATAATGGTTGAAACCTAATAAGAGATTTCAGCGTCATCTGATGGAAAGTTATTGTAAAACTAATGAACAAATTTCGTTAAAATTTCAAAACATAATAAACTGAAAATTGTACGAGGTCAAGTAATAGCTTATAATACTAAATGTGGGCTAATGTAGCCTCAAGAAAATGAAAGATCGCATGTCTTCAATTTTAAATTAACATTCTCTGGATCCTCCTCGGAAAAAAACCTGGGATCAAATATAAGAAGATAAAATTTCTATTCTTCGCTTAAATTAAAGTAATCCGATCCATTTTAAACTAAACACTGGAAAAGAATCTTAAACACAAAAATATACTGAAAGTTTAGAAAAGCCAAACACAATGCCTTTTGAGCCGAAAATATAGACAAATTATAAACTAAAAGTTTCTGAAAGCACATACTAAGTCCTTAAAAGGACTTTACTGTTGTTAAAAATTGATAGCTCGCGCCGTTAGGTGGCGCTACGAGCGTCCTGTCTCTTTGATATTCTATAACTTAATTTTAGTTTGATGGAAGAACGAAGGTATTAATAATGATGAAGGCGTGTGCTTAGTAATAATGCTTATACCCACTGTATTATAATGTAAATAAAACTCTGTGTATTAATAACGAAGTGGAATTATCACTTACCTCTGGATTTAATGCTCTCTGAATGGTAACGGAAACATTTACTACAACTGTAAAATTAGGGTAAGGAACTCAAATCGGCATAGATTCTGTACAAAACTTCATCAACTTCGATGGTGATAGGTCTGTCTTCTTAAATTTCAAAATATGTAACGTAATGGTGTCTTTTATGTTCCATGGTAACTAAATTATTCACTCAACCCGTTTAATTGCGAAATCTTTATTGCTATGGATAGGAACGGAACTTGCAATATTCTCGAGGTATGCCTTCTATGGCATCATGGAAGTTGGGCTTATATACACTCACGTTTTATGATGCCATAAAAAATTTCTTCTCTTGTTAATCGTACACTTAATGCATTATAATGCAATGATGACTTGACGTTGTAATGCAATTCGCATAAGTCAATGATCACTTCTTTTCGCAAATCAAACAAACTTTGACGGTAAGCATTCCAGTGACCGTTCATTAAAGTATACCGATACGAATAATAATAACTTGATCCAATAGAAATAACTAAAATACTCTCTTATTGATAACATAAATACTCTCTTCTTGATAACATAAATACTCTCTTCTTGATAACATAAGCTATTTTTCTTTAATATCGTGAGACTTTTTTTCTTATTAGTCATGCATTAAGCTGTACGTCTTGGTGACTTTTTATTTTATGAAACATCCTAAGAATTACGTCTCAGTAATTGGCAAGTAAGAGGATATGGAACAAATTTATTAAGAAGATGGAATTTCATAGCTGAACTTGCAAATAATGACAATAAAACTTGCATGGTAATTTTATCTGAGCTTTATAAAATAAGTTTAAACTGTTTATTGTGGCATATATAATTAGTAGCCTATGCAAGTAGACCAGTGTTATGTGTCGATGAATTATTAAACATTCAGTTTTTTAAATAAGTATTGTAGATTTTGATTACGAAGTAATACTTTTTAAATACGTATTTAACACAGAGAGTGACCGAGTAAAACATCTTCTGAAAGGAAAAAATTACATGATATTTTATATAATCTCTGCGATGATAGACAATAAAAAAAAAAATTTAATTTAAAAATAAATATTTAGATTTCTCAAGTTAATTAAATATTGTTGTAATTTATGTCACTATTTTTAATTGTTTTGGTATTTTTATATTGTTATTTATTTACAGTGATGTGATGATGTGATTTTTCTTTCCAGAAATACACTATTTTTGAAGGTAAAGGAGCTTACAATGCTGAACTTCATGAAAGTAACAAAAAGGTTATGCATGACTTGTGGTCAGAAATGGCGGAACTGGCCGACTACAACAAGGCAAGTGTTATTTTGATTTATTTTATTAATTTTTTTTAAATAAAAAACCTCTCTGCTAAAATCTCATTATTTAAAAAGCAATTTAGACAGATTAGAACGGAAAAGAAGTTTCTTTTCAAAAAATCGTTAAAATTATTTTTAATGTGTTAACATAATTAATGATGAAAGACTGAAACTTCCAAACGCTTGAATAACTTGAATAACCGAAGTTAAACCGAGCAAATAAAAATGGCATTTGTTGTAAATGGTTTCAAGTAGTTAATTTTCATAGACTGAATAAAAAAGAAATGACATTAAAAGACTTATCTAAAAGTAAATTATTTTAAATTCAACCTAATTTTGAAAGATATCATTCTGATCAGCAGATAATTAAAAACCACTAAATGCTAGGTGTAACCTATGATGATATCTCTGTTAGGCATAAATAGCCCTATCCTGTTTCACCTGAGCCAGTTATGTACTTCTTTAAAAGCAGTTACGAAATCATGGTAAAAATATAGGGTGCTAGGTGTTAATAAAGTACTACATTCCGTTGACCGTGCTGTTCGATGAATCGAAAGGAAATTCAAAATATGGATTTGCAACATGTGCGTTCGAAGAGATGCGAATAACATCATTTGAGTTCTTTTGGTTCAGAGAAAAAAAGTTTACGAAATTGTGAATAATAAACCCAATTTTCCGCATTGAGACTGACACGGTGAATACCATAAATTACGTTAGACGGCACCTGAAACCAAATTAAAAAGAGATGAATAAATATTTTAATGACAGCGGAGTTTAAATGCTTTCCACGGAGGACCTTTTTACGTGGATACGATACTGGTTCTAAAAGACCTTTGACAACATTCTAAAAGACCTTTGACCTTTGACCCACGCCTGGTGGATGCACGACGTCATCCTGCATACACCAGTAGTCAGATTTAGCATTAATTGCGGCAGCACTTGAAAGCCATAATTTCTAAATACATTGCTTAAAAAATATTCATGACAGTGCACGTATATAAATGTTATGGAACTACGTCTTAAAAAACGAAGAAAAAACAAGGGCAAAGAACAGTGGCGCTTGTCAATGTACCTTGACTTTTTGTCTGAGGTCCCTGACTCCTTGCAAGAAGAAACTGGAAACTTCTATCTGAACTGTGCATAAAGTTCTTTTATGTTGCCAATTAACGTGAAATACCTATGTATAATATGAAAAGATGACACTATATAATCTGTCTTTCATATACGTAGAGGACACCTAATATTATCACACTCATAAGTGATAAAGAGTTAGTTCATAGGATATAAATGAAGCTACTTATCATTTGCTTGCAATAGTAGAGTAATATTGTAAAATTATATCTATTTCATTTCAACTGTCCAAAGATAGGAAGATACTAATAAGTGTAGAACTAATTGAAGGAACAAGGCTGTAGATGTGGTTAACTGTAAGCTGCTGGTATTGTAGCTATGTGGCAGAAAATAATTGATAGCGACGTGAATACTATGAACCAAACTTTCCCAATTAATGTTACAAGGGGAAATTTTTGAATATTTCATATACTGACATATATTTTTCCTGATGCTAATGTGATCAGCAGAGAAAGAATAAATACAGTTTGAATTGCAATCGCATATCGAAACATTCCAGTGGGAAAGCAATAGCAAAGCAAAGGAATGGAGACATGCATTGAAAGGAAAGAGACACGCAGTTGTGAGAAAGCCTATAATATACATGACAGCAGTGAAAGTGTTAGCATACGATCGTACGCAGAAGTCACAAAAACCAAGTGGCAAATAACATTTCTCTTACATCAGAAACCAAGTGGCAATGCATACCAATACAATAGAGATAAATGCGAGAAGTTTAGTCAGTCAATATTTGTGGAGGAAACATGAGATTTTCGGCGAAGTAGCAAGGTGAACTGATCAAATTCAACTACTTGACCAATCAAATACGCTCTAAAAGCATTGGAAGTTTTTCATCTAAACGACTTTACTATGCGAGCGATTTTCTATTCGAGCTGTGCGGAACTTGCTGGGCAAATTTGAAGAAAAGGTTTTTACATGTGATAGAGATCAAGCCGAGCACAGTGTGAGGCACAAACATTCACAGTGTTATAAAAACTACGGTCCTAAAAATGCTACCTTCTGTAATTCACACGTTTCACTGGTGATTCCGATATATCCATATGTATGTATAATTGCTGAATAGTCGTGAATATGATAATTATTAGCTATTAATCTCAGCTTACCAAGACTCGTATATACTGCAGATGTACAAGTATGTTAGAGGAAGTACTGATGATTCTATAACCGATGATTCTATATACGATAAACGTATATATATGACTAATGGAAGAAGAGAATTTTTAATTATTTCAGTCGTTTCCCCTTGCAAAGACAGATTTGAGGGAACATGATCTAAGGCGTTAAGAAAGAATTATAGTCGTAGATGAGACTTAATAGGCCGACAACACCTTTCCTAAGTGGAGTAGCTGTCCTGTGGCAGAGAAGAGAAGAAAGAGTGTGTGTAATTCTTATGAACTTAAAGAATATTATTATAAACAACTGATTACTAGTGCTTGCTTTCAGTTGTCTGGAATCATAATTGTAGAGTTCAGGTTTTGATTGTTTGAAATTATAGGTTAAAACAGTATTTTTTATTTGTAACATTGTAATTCCTATGCAAATAAAATATGAATCATTTTTAAAAATGGCATGTTTCGCAAGGGATTGATTAATACAAATCGTTACAGTGACGATCAGTTTGAAGAAAATCATATCACATTCGCAACAGGCATATTTTTGCTCGCACGAATATTTTACTTACTGCTGATTCGAGGAATAGCAGCAATTCAATTTCAGCCAAAAAAACAGTTATGAGGAATAAAAAAATAAAAGTTATAAGAGATCAGAATATTGCCTTTGAAAGGTATGCATTGCTCGGCAAAAAGAGAGAACAGATATAAATCTGTCAGACTGTCACCAGTGTTCTGAACGGTATGTGTGATATTTAAGTACACAGAAAGAATGATGTACATTGGAATTTGCAGCTACATAGAGTAGCCATTCGAACTATTATTTTCAGAGATATTGTATTTTGAGCTTGATGGCAGAGGAGAATATGATAATTTTTTCTGAAATGGGTGATCACTGCTATAAAGCCTGAATGTTCGACGATATAAAATAATGTGAATCTGATAGAACTAAAATTATATTTTAAAATGTTTATTTTATTTTTCTATAGTTTTATTTGACTTGTTTCTTCTGTACCTTTGGGTCAAATCTTAAAAGTAAGTTCTGAAACTCTTCTACCAACACCGATTTTCTTGAAAATCTTCATAAACTTATTTGCGATGACAACAGAATATTCCACAGGATTTTTTTTTCACTATTTGATGTAGATCTTTTTACTTTCATTTCTAATTTTCTCATAGTTCCTTGTTGGATGGTCCAAATTAGTCATCACAGAACATCAGTCTCTACACTCTAGAACAAAAAGTAGTCATCTATCTACATACTTGCGGGTGCATTTGGTGTGGCCGCACCGAGAGAAGTTAATTAGAAATGGAAAACCTTTTAGAACTTATAGGGAGGCGCTGGGCGCTGGGGAGGCAGAGTTTGGGAACCACAGAAATTGCAACATGCTAAATAACCTAACGCTGTCCCTGAATTCATACGAATGTGTTTCGGAATCTCTAAAGGTAGTTTTTTTTTTGGGGGGGGGGGTTAAATCTTTCAAATAACTTTTGTCCTCGGCCCTCATTTCTCATGATTTACGTATTCACGGTGATAACATAATATTCCACAGGACTATTTTCAAAATTCACCATTAATTTATAGTTTACTAGTGCTTAATTTTTGTTACAAATCCATAGCGGCCAAATTTTACCGTAAAAGATGCAACGAAAATCACTAGCGCTTTTTTTTTTTTTTCCGATTTTGATATAATTTGGAAAATTTTTTAAATTTTGTAAAACTGTTCGGTAATTAAACTGTAATGCATTATCTGACAGTTATGCATTATAACGCTATTTGGAGCTGCAAATTTGTCATAAAACCGCTGTTAGCAGCTGCAGATCATATTCTTCATTCTTAGCATCCATATGATTTTAAGCGCTAGTGAGATCAGATTCCTAAATTAAACAAATATTTAAAGGAATTTAATCTTCCATTAAAACTAGAAAAAATAATTTTCCTACGTCCAGAGATAACGATTTTTCTTTATTACTTTTCCGCATCCTACAAAGTATAACTGACTTGCATATGCACCCTTTTAAACTATACAGGTTTAATGAAATACAATAAAATGTCAAAATTATTTACCTATTATAATACTTTTGATTATATGTGATTAAATATAAAATCTTATTGCTATTATAGATAAAATTTATTAAGCCATTAACATAATTTCAAGAAACAATAGAAGTGACAGTATAAAAACGATATATGTAACAGTCATAGCATTTGTTCGCTTTTATTTCTGTTTGCAATTTTGGTTTAGTATTAGCTACCATTTACAGCACCAAATAATATTTTTATTCACACGAATATTTGACAACTAAAAACTACTTTTGTCATTTTAATACATTTAATTAAGACCGTTTATTTAAGAAAAGATTTTTATTCCATTACATATTTAGTTATCAGGTATTTCTCCCGCCTTCTTAGCATGCCTTCGTGGTGTAATGGTCAACACGCTCGGCGCGTATTCGATATCCGAAATTCGATTCCCGGTGAGGACAATGCTCATTTTTCATCTCGTCTACTTTCAAAAAATATGTAATGCCGCTACAGTGGTGCCCGAACTAAAAAAGGTGGTGAATGATGATTCTCCACCGAGGTTCGAGTCCTGTAGAGGGCCTTGCAATAAATCAAGACCACTGACTGATTTAGAATGTCGCCGTTAAATTAATTAATTTTCTTTTAAGTTGTTAATCGCCGCTGAAGAATAGGTTAAATCTATTTCTATTTGCAGATGACTACGTCTTTTTATTTCAGTTAAAATCGATAGGACAAGTTTAATTTCTAAACCTGATTCTACAGCTTCATGTTTTCAGACTGGCTGTCTTAAATAAAAATAATTTTCATCAAATTGAGGTTTTCAGTTAAATCATTGATAATCATTTCAGTAAATCATTGATATTATCTAAGATATATCATAATTGTATTATTTATTAATTTGACATACTATTTCGCATACATGAAATACAGAATAGAGACAATACAGACAAACAGTATACATGAAATACAGAACTTATAGATACACCTTGAGCACTCTCCTACTTTAAACTCCGCTGCCGAACAACAAAAATGAAATTTTAAAAGACTATATTTAACATCAAACAAAGAATTCTGCCATTGGTAAAGCATCAACTTTCTGAAAGAGCAACATTTTCGTAATTATTATCAGGACACTTTAATTTAATGAAACCATATTTTAAATCTAGAAACCGAAAGTTTTATAGTTATTATTACGACACTTTTATTTAATGGAATTATATTTTAAATGCATGTATGGGAAGATAACGAAAGTTTTATTGCTAAAGTTTGATTTTTCAGGATGGCCAGGTGACGGTGGAAGAGTTCAAGCAAGGCGTCCAGAGCGTTTGCATGGGCAAGAAGTTCGAACAATTTCCACAGTCTCTCAAGCACGCCATTAACTGCAAGTTCCATGCCACTGACATAAACGGTATTTTAAACGTTATTAATTTAATTGTTTTGTTACAGTGAACTGCAGAAGTACGAAAAGGCATGTACTCCAGGATATATTTGTGATAATCTATCAACAATGATCACCACGCTTCATGAAGAACGCACATTAATAATTCTATACCACACTATTAATGTGTAGTACAGAACGGCTTCGCATTCTAGTTTTACCTGTAATTTTGAAATCTAGTGAACTAAAGGGCCCCTAACACCAAGCTCGGACTGAATTTTCCTCAAGCCCTAATTTGGCTGTTGTGAACGACAACTTAAGTACTAACTTCTTTCTACCACATTTGAATACACGCGCACTAACTCATTTGCATTCTGGCAAGAAAACGTGAGTTGAAAGCAAAAGAGATAGGAAAGGCTGCTTCAAAGTAAAATTAAATGTTAAGTAAATTAAATAAATCCCCGTAAACATTACAACAGGCCGAAACTGGAAAGAATTCCATGTTTCCTTGATTTAGATAGTTTTGGCATTGATTTACCTGGAATGAAAGCTATGGTGATCTCATTAGCATTAGACTCACTTGTACGAAGCAGATCGTAAAAATACATTTACACACGTTTCTCCAGGTCTGAAAACCAAAAACCGCCATGCTGACATTTTTAACTCCTGCTACAGAAATATGACTTTTTTATTCATATTTGAGTGGAATAAGACAATTCATTCGATATTTTGGTTTCCTTTTAATGCTATTGTGTAAGGGAAATCACGCGCAATTTTTATATTCACGCAGTTAATTATTTTTTTGGTTAGCTGCTTACGAAAAAAAAAAGTTTTTTTTTTTTTTACTTATTTTATTTTTATACATTTATTACTTTTTATATTTAATTTTATTTAAAATACTTGAATTTTCTTACTTTAAGTAGTATTATTTTAACTTTAAAATAAAATTTCGCTTTATATATTGTCTCAATTATGTTCAACGAAATATGCTGTAAGACTATCTTGTTCTACGGATAATATTTTATAAAAATATATATGTATAATATAATTAATACTTATGCTCTAAAAGCTTTTGTCTGACTATTTACGTAATTACTATGAGGAATCAAATGAAACATGAAGAAACATGACACAATCTCTTCTCCTGCCTTGATACAAAATATTTAGTAATTTCTACCATCAGTTTAAGATATTAATGATAGGAATATTACGAAAATTCTACTTTTTTTAAATCTGGTTTTAAAAATTAATTTTCGGACCGAAAAGTAATTTTTAATCCCAAATTTGTAATTTTCGGACCCTTTTTATTTGTTGCTTTTAATCATTAGTGAACTTATTTCAAATAACTAGATGTAAAATATGTATTAATACAATATGACTTGATTTTACTACATCATTTCTTTTTAGGTGATGGCATCGTCACTCTAGAGGAATTCCGAATGGACTGCGTGAACCGCAGCGCGTTCCAGGAAATCCAAGAGATCGACGACTGTTTCAATAAACTGCTGAATGTAAGTTGGCATCTTGAAATTCATAACGCCGTACATATTGCTATCAAGTTCAGATGGCTATGTTTTATTCCATTTTTATAAAATGATATGAGTAAGAAATGCTATAACTGAAATGTGGTAAAATGCCAGCAAAATCTGTAGTACCCATTTTGTCGTTCTCGCAATATCTTCATTTCGCAGGGAACTTTTACGAAGAGTGATGGCCAGGTATGACCGTATTTCCACACGCTTCTTCTCCCTTTTTATCTAATTAACTTCCAACTAAGCTAATTTCCGAAAATCCAGAGAGGAAAATTATGTGAGTAATTTATTAATTTCTGAAGAACGTAATTACATTAAGAACATAAAAAATGGAAGTAGCCATGGATAAACTATTGGTACTATCGTAATATTCTTTTTTTAACAGAAATCTACATTCCAGAAAGAATATAAGGTATTTCTCCCGCCTTCTTAGCGTTCCTTCGCGGTGTAGTGGTCTGCAAGCTGGGCGCATATTCCAGAGGTCCGTGGTTCGATTCCCGAGGAATTTATTGCTTATTTTTCATCTTTCCTGCTTTAAAAAATTACCTAATGTCTCTACAGTGGCGCCCGAACTAAAAGGGTGGTGGATGATGATTCTCCACACCCAGAATTTGGCAATTGTGTCCCCTGAAAACCTCAGTCGCCATATAGAAGTAAGCAATGTAGTCGTGTCATATAATATTGCAAATTAAAAAATTAAATGAAATAAAATACAATTTTTAAAAAATTATAAAAAAAAAATGGGCGTTTTTTAACGTTTTGTGAGTTACCGTTACTTATAAAATATCATGTTCTCCGCACAGAATATTCAATTCAACAGCAATATCATAAAATAATTTTAAAACAGCATATCTTTAAAATTTCCGATACGCAGTCTCGCGTGCTGTATATTAAAATGTTTTTTTCGTACAGTGTTGCCATCGCTCGCTTTGAAATTATTGAGTTTCTTAATCAAAAACTCATAAATGCTTAACAAAATATGAAATAGATAATTTCAAATTACAAATAATGAATCACATATTAAAATTCGAAATTACAAATAAATTTTTAATTTGGGCTTGCAGATGCCGAAATTCGGGTGGAGACGTAGGTTATTCATAATTGAATGGCTCCACGTAGCGTTGCTTTATCACAATGTGAAAAACATGCATGCATTTATGGAGCTTCTTCATTATTTAATTTCTTTAAATATATACAGGGCGATAGTATTTGATCGCAAGAATTTGAAAAGTGAAACGCCACAAAATGCCAAAACGAAATTAATAGCCCTTCTAGGCTAACGCCCTGTGGGTTAAAAGCAATCTCGTTTAAAATGGATTCCATAATTAATACACTAAAAAGAGAAAAATAATTTATCATATAGTTTAATTGCAATAATAGATTAAATAGTTCTGTTTAAGGATATCATCTATAATATCGCCAATAATAAATGCCTGGGGTGCACATGATAAATTAGAAAAGATAATGGCTTATACATTTAACAATACAATTAAACTAGCAGAGAATTTTAAAGATAATGGCATTTCACAACCAGTTAAATGAACAGATTTAGTTATTCAGGCGCTCCAAGCTTTATTCTCTACATAAAGCTGTAGATGGTTTCTATAATTGAATTATTTAATCATTCTGAATAATTCTAAATTATTTAATTATTCATATTAAATACTGAATTATTTAATCATAATTAAACCGGAATAATTGAATTATTCCAGTTTAATTATATAATAAAATATATTTCTCTTTTTAGCGAATTAATTATCATATACATTTTAAATAAAATATTATTGTATAAAAACCTTTTTCTTTCAATTGGATTTTATTTTCTGTTTTTAGTCTTAACAGTTGTCTAGTCTTCGTTATCAACGGTGAAATGTTTCGTCATTATTAAAACACAACCAATAAATCAAAAAAAAATTATGAAATAAAGAAATATAACTGACCGCCATTTAGAGAATGAAACTACTGCTTTGAGTATTTAGTTTCGGAAATTGGATGTAATAACAATATTATAACGAGCATTACGCTTGAAACTAAAATAAAAAAGCGAATATCACCAATTCGTCTAGAGCACCAAGATGGAAAACTCAAAAGCAATTTTTCAGCGAGAAACGGTTTTTCTGTGGTCTGCTTAGAAAACCTCTCAATTAATATTTTTTTATTATTATTCTTGCTTCAAAATTGCACAAAACGTTTGTTTTATAATCCGTAAAATTTTCAAAACTTTACATCTGATACATTTTCAGATGATGAAAGTTTAAAATTATGAGCCTCAAATAGTCAAAATAATCCAGAGATTTTCGAAAATTCTTCAAGCATTCAAAAACTAAATTTTTATTTTTAGTTTCTTTTAAAAGATTTCTTTTTTTTTCTATTCGATGGTGCAAATAGTAAAATTTTGATAGGTTCATTTTTTTTTTCGAAACAGAGGTATATGCAAAAAAAAATGTTTAAACGTTAAATAAAAAAATGTAAACCGAATTTTGAAAAACTCGCTGCACTACATTGTACTGTTTTCAGTCAACAGTTTGTGTGCAAAATTTGTACTCCATAGCTTATCAGAAAGTCGGTAAAAAATAAAAAAATCTAAACCGAATTTTGAAAACCTCGCTGCACTACATTGTACTGTTTTCAATCAACAGTTTGTGTGCAAAATTTGTACTCGATAGATTGTCAGAAAGTTAGTTAAAAATCGATGACAAAATTCCATTCACAATGAAACAGTGTTAGTGAACTAAATAAAAGCGTTTAAAAATCTTTGATTAGTATCCCGCAAGTATATTTTAAAGTATGGCCATTTGCTGCAAAAATGCAGATACATTTTCCTTTCATTTCTCACTTTCTTTTGCATAACAGAATAACAATAAAAAATTAAGAAAAATGGAATTTTTAAAGCTATTCGTTATTCGTTTTATAAATAAGATGGCATACTGATGGATTTGAAACAAATTTACATAGACCATCCGTAGTATTTACACGGAATGTTTGAAAGAAATGGCTATTCTTTGAAATAGTATATTCTCTTAAATATTAATCTGAAACCTTCCAAAACAAAATTTCCTAAAAAAGTGGGATTTAGGGGAAATGGTTTCAACACAATTGGTAAAACGACTCAGCACATATTACAGATGAGCTATTAGAATTCTTAAATCTCCTGACGGAGGATTTCCCATTCGAAAACTCGAATCGTTGCTCTTTTTTTCTTCTTTCGAACTTTTCAAATCCTAAACTGCGAAACCTTAAACATTTAAATTCAAAATAGTTTTTATATAAAAAAATGAATGTTGTTGCTGTCAGCGAATTCGAATACTTATATTACCTCGTAACGGATCTGAGGTAAATATTCTGGTATTTCAAGTGTAGTATGTGTCCACGTTTTCTTGAAGTAATCTTTATTCTTTACTAGACTTTTAAAACGATCCAAGAAAAATATACCGTGAATCAAATGTTTTTGTCAAATTACTTTGAAATTTTAATCTTAAGATTCAAGCATTTATATTTTTTTTATTTATATCTTCTTAATGGATATATCAGAAGCCTTTTAAAAAATCGTATTCTTAAATTTAATTTTCACCAAGCCCATAATTGATTACTACAGAAATACAAAAGAGAATCATTGCAGTCAATAGACGCTTCAATGCAATACGAAAAAAAAATCAATCGTAAACCAAAGAAAAACAAATATTTTACTGTATAAGAACCTTAGAACACCAACTTTAACATATGTATGTGAAAGCTGACCATGACGCACACGAATGCTTATATGTTGGACATTTTTGAAAGGAAGGTTTGGATAAGTATTTTTGGGATTCAAAAAGATGGCGTCTGGCTAAGAAGATCGAATTTGGAGCTATATTCCTCATATAATAAACCGACATTCATAAAATGCCAAAGAATAAAAATCGGTAGGCCACGTTGCCAGAGTGGATGAAGAGCGTGCAACAAAAAAAAAAAAAAAGTCTTCAACGCCAGACCAATAGACACATGGGGGGGGGTGAAGGGTAGACCAAATCTAAGATAGTTAAACTGCCTAGAAGATGACTTACTGTTCTTAGAAACCAAAAACTGAAAAACGCTAGCAGGAAGAAGATTGGCCTGAAAAAAGCTTCCTGAGAAGGCCAGGGACCACCCTGGGCTGTCGGGCCGTTGAGGAAGGAAGGAAGTCTGTATCTGAAATTATTCTTTCATTAAAAATTTAGAATATTCTTTTTTTTTTCTTCTTCTTCCCTGAAAGAGTCGGGGAAATTTAAGATTTATCTCATTCTTAGGAAAAAAATAAAATCGAAATTTTGCGATCCTAGTAGAGCAATAGTTATATTTGTAAAGCAGTCATTATGTTCTAAGAAATTAAATATTAAATATTGCAAACCTTCACTTGAACAATTCGCAGAGATAGTCAAGAATGAAATTCTTCAACCTCATTTAAAGGATATAACTGCTAAACAATAGTTGCTCCTTTTGAAAATTATTCGTTTAATTATTCATTCCGTTTCATGTAAAAAGGCACTAATCACTGAACTTTCAATCTGCTGCATGAAATTACTAATCGCACATACGCAATTTGGCAATAGCACAGAACTTTCTTGTAAATGGTTGAAATTCTACGGAGCTCTACAAGGACATTATAACAGTTAGATTTTATTTCTACCCATTCCTTACAGTATTGAAAGAATTTTCATATAATTCCTACTTCTTTTTGAAAACTTTATAATTAGAAATATACCTTCTTGCGATCATTATTTAAGGAAATAAATCCTGTAGCTAAATTTTTCGTTATCCAGCTGTAGCTCTGTCACTGAAGATTCAATCTCTTTCTTCAGGATCTTCAAAACTATATTTTCGAAGGTATTAAAAAACGAAATTCAGCTACCAAAGGAAAATCCAGATTTTTCTTACAATCTTAAAAAAAATCCTATTAGATTTTCACCGGAAACAAGAAATCTAGAGGAAACGTAGAATTTTACAAAAAGGTAAAATCTATG